CCCCCCGGCAGTCCGAGCGCTGCAGGGCGCTCCCGGTGCCTCCAGGCGGGACGCGACGCGCTCCCAACATTCCGGACGAGAAAAAAAAGAAAAAAAAAAAAAAAGGAAAAAAAGGAAAAAAAAAAAAAAAAAAAAAAAAAGGAAAAAAAGCGAAGAAAAAAAAAAGCACCACCCGCCCGGGCGGCAGCGAAGCGAGCAGAACGCCGCCGGTGCAGCGCTGCAGGGGTCAGTATTCCAAAGGGGGGTTCCGTCCGTCCGTAGAACGCAGCCTCGAGCTCCGGGCGGCTCCGGCGTCCGGCGGCAGCTCCGCACGGCGCGGGCGCTCTTCGCGGCACCACCGACCGCTCCGCTTCCGAGACCACGGAGGTTATTTTAAATAGATTTTTTTTTCCTCGCTCTGAGTTTTTATATATATAGATATATATATATAATATTTTTTTTTTTTATCCTGCCACCGGGGGAGGGCGAGGCGGGCCCCCCCGCACCCCCCGCGCCCCCGTATTGCCGCACGTACTTGGGGTTGCCGGCGCTCCAAGAGACGGGCTCCAGGCTCTTGGCGAGCGGCGCGGCCAGGCGGCACAGGGCGAGCAGCACCCCCAGCAGCCACCGCCCGCCGCGGGGCCGCGCCATCGTCCCTCGGCGGCGGGACGGCACCGGGCGTCAGGCGCCCATGCCGCGGGGCTCTCCGCTCCTCAGCCCCGCATCGGCGCCGCGCAGCCCGCGGGCAGCGCCCCGCCGCCGCCGCCCTCTTCCTTCTCTTCCTCCCGCTCCTCCTCGCGCCTCGACGGCGGCTCCCGCTCGTCCCCTCCGCCGTCCCGGCTCGCACAGCGCCGCCGCCCGCCGTGCCGCCCCCTCTACTCCCCTTCGCAGGCAACCGCACGGACGACTCAAAGAGGAACGGCCAATCGCCGTTCGCCCCGACGGGGCCTTCGAGCCTCGGGCACGCCTCTCTCCGCCCCCACTGTCTGTTCTTAAAGGGCACGCACAGACTCGCGGCTGCCCCCCACAGCACGAGCGGGCGGGGCCGGGGGCCGGCCGGGGCCGGGCCGTCGGGGCGGTGCGTGCCCTTTAAGAGCCGCCGGCGGCGCCCAGACGGCCCGGCCCCATCCCGCCCCCCCGGCCCCGCCCTCAGGCCCAGCCGCGATCCAATGGCGCCCCCTGGCGGTACCGCGGCGGCCGCTGATTGGCCGAGTGCCGCGCCGAGGTTTGCCGCTCGCTTCCCACGCCCCTCGGGACGGGCACGGCGCTGAGCAGAGCCGGGGGGGCGTGGGGCGTCGTTGTCGTGGGAATTGAAAGGGCTGAGCCTTATCGCCCCTTCAGTGTGGGTAAATGCGCCACGCTGAAAGGGATTTGTCCCCTTTTGTGGGGACGGAGAGGGGGCATTTGCAAGCCGGAGCATCCCCGGCCGATTGCTCTTTTCTTTTTTTTTTTTTCTTTTTTTTTTTTTTTTTCCCTCTCTGAAACTTTCTAAGGTTTGGGGCGGCTGATTTTTAGCCGCGTCACGAGGAGTGAGGCCACTGCGTTCAACAGTGAGAAATCTGAAATGAATTTTCATTCAAAGCATCGGCCGAGCGCTTGGAGCCGGCTGGGTGCCTCCATCAGGGGCAGCTCGCGTTCTACTACGACTTTTGTAAAACGTACTCCCAAGTCAGATCGTTTTCCACGAAGGAAATCCGAACCCCCCCCGTCTTGAGACAGCCTTAAATGCCCTCAGCGCCCTCGCTCTTTCATTCTGCACGTTTCTCTTCTCCGGCGCCCCGCACGGCACACCCCTGCCATCCAATTGAAATCGACGTTTATTGGGTTTCTGCGTTTAAAAAGAAATTAAAATCGGGAATTAAATGTGTTGTTAAATTGAAGCTGTGCAGATGCTTTCCATCGGCCAGGCCATTCCCGGCTCCTTAAATCAGGTTACACCGTGCCTCTCACAGCCTGTTGGAGTCCTGGAGACAATTGTCGGTTTGATTTAAACTAAATGAATGAGTCTATCAATTGCTTCTCCAACGACACCTTAATTCAAAAGAGACAGGGGGAAAAAAAAAGATCGAGGAAGGAGGAAAAAAAAAATAATCGTTTTCATTTTAGGTGGGAGGATTTCGAGCCTACCGTAATGAGTTATATTGCAACAAAGGTAATTATTCTAAGCGAGCTGGCTGGGGAATTGAAAACTGCATTAAAGCGTCAGTGACTTCCCTCCTGCATCTCCCATCGCTGCTTCCCATCAGAGAAACACGTACGTGGCACGGAGCGGGCGCAGCCCCGGGTCGGCCGGCCGGCCCCAGTGCCCCCAGGCGCTCCGGGGGACACGTCGGGCTCAGCCCGGTGCCGCCCCGTGCCCGGAGCTGCGGCCAGGAGGAGCCCCCCCCCAACCCCCGGCCGGTGGCAGCCCCAAGGTGTTCCTGTCCAATAATCTCCGCAAATGACATCACGATTAGTTGCCATGGCGACGTCTGCTCACAGCACAACGGCTCAGGTGGGAGATGGGGAGCCGAGGAATTCTGAAGCGGGAGAATGGTGCTTTCACGCCTTCCCGGTGCCAAAAGAACCGCGCTGGGCGGAGGGGAAACGAAGCAAAAACAGCTTCCGTGCCGCCCGAGCCCCGCGCTGGGCGCTGGAACCCGCTGCCCATCAGCCTCACGTGCAGCACAGCACAGCGCCGTGCCACCTCCACACCGCCGTGCCCAACCCCGCTGGTGCCGCTGCACACAAAGACCTTTTGCCTTCAGCGTTCCAGCTGGTTTTTTTTTCCAAGGAAAACGAGGCCCAGGGCCTGTCTGCAAACAGCCCGGCGTGTTGGGATTGAGTTGCTGAGGTCTCTCACACCCCAAACCAAACCAGTGGAGACCAGCTGGGTGCCAATCAACACTGGTGCGTCCTTAGGATGAAGGGAAACGCAGCCATGTGAGCAGCGTGAGCCGGCTGTTGTGGGCACTCATTACAGGTTTAAGATAGGCAATGTCAACAGCGAGCATCCGAAGGTCACCCGGTGCCTCTGTATCGTGGGCTGAAATGGTATGTACATACCTGACACACCAGTATCGCCGTGTGCTTGTGGGCTGTGTCAATATCCAGTCTAACTCAGTGTTTTTGTTGCTTCTTCCCGTGCTGGAATTCCTCAGTGGACAGACGGACACAGAATCGAATGGTTCTGGCGTGGGAAAGGCAGCCCGGCTCAGGAGAGGCTCCTTTGGCTGCAGCCCAGCTGGTATGGAGGGATGGGACACAACTTCCAGTGCCACCATCACCACGGCCACAAACCCTGCTTTTCTAACTGAGGCTATGAAGGGAATTTGTGACACCAGCTGAGGCTGATACCTCAGAATTCAGAAGAAAAAACTGATTGAGGAGAGGCTCCCGGCCTCAGCTGGTGATCTCTGGCATCCAGGGACACCTGTGAAACCCATGGGCTGCATGCAGGGACAGGAGGAAGGGTTTGCTATTTTGGGGCAGCAGGGGAAAGATTGCAAAGCAGGTGCTGGGCTGAGTGCTGGCCTGGCGAGGAGGTGCAGTGGGGAAAGGATGCCCTGGCTTTCCCCAAAAGCCCAGGCTCTGTGAGCCCTCCTCTCACCTAGACAAGCAGCAGGAAGATGGGGAGACACCGCCAGCAAGTTGACACCTGGCCCGTCCCTGCTTGTCACCCCCAGAAGCAATGGGAATTCAATGCCCTCCCCACTTTCTGCCTTTCTCCTTCCCCTGCACACACGCTGGGTTAGTGGGGGTATCCTCCCTCCAGCCACCAGCAGGGCCTCACCCCATCCACATCCCCACAGACACAGAGCGCCCCGAGGCAAATGTGGGTCTGGAGGGCAAGGAACTGAGCCAAGGTTTCCTCACGTGGCTTTGCCTGTGTGCCTCACCCATCTTCAGGATCACGTCCAGGAAGGGCAAAAGGGACAGAGCGTGTGTGCACAGTGTGTGTGCACAGTGTGTGTGCACAGACACCGCAAGGAGAGTGTGAGTGAGCTGCTTGCACGGAGAGCACGACGAGTGTGCAGTGTGTGCGGCGGGGCTGTGCTGCACACAAACCTGATCCCCCGATGGCCAAAGTTCTCCCCCTTTCCATGGGCCCACGGTGCCGCCCCCAGCCTGCTGCCTGCACCCAGCACCCAGCCAGGCACCGGGGGAAGCGGCACCTCAAAGATCCCATGCCCTGGGCAGAGATGTGCACAGGGGTGTGGGGACAAACACAAGCACACGTGCATCCCAGACCTGGCCCAGCTGTGAGGCATTCCTCTGTGGCACAGACACACACAGTGAGAGCAGAGCAGGCTGTGGGGGTACAAAGACACGATGGGGGCTTGGCCCACAGCTCTGGTGCAGCAGTCAAGGGTGGCTCTTGCTGCTTTGATGTCTCCCCAGGGACAGCTGCCTGGAGCATCCGGTGTCACTGCTGTCATGAGCTGCAGGGCCCTCGGTGCTGCAGGATGCTCCTGTTGCAGATGAGGTCCCCAGCCCAGCCCTGCAGCCGCTCTCTGCCCTTCCCAGTGCCCACTGCCCTTCCCTTAACACTTACAATCACACCCTCATCGAGTGATGAAGCTCTGCAGCACCAGATGTATTCCACAGCCGCTTCATATCGAAATTACCTGAGACGGTTTATAGCGAGAGAGCAATGGGATGAAATGGAGCAAAAGAGAATTTAGGCTGAGCACCTGGAGAAAGCGCTTAGTGCTGAAATCTGCAGGATGGCTCCCCCAGGGAAGCGGGTTGGAGTTATTTAAAACTCACCTAAATAAAAGCCAGGAGGGAATGAACTCCGCTTGTCCCACAGGCGCGGGCACGGCGGGACCTGGGGGACGTTCCCCAAATTATTTTCCTTGCTGAAACACGTGAGGGCTCACACAGCTGAACTCGTGCGGCCCTGGGCTGAGCAGAGGGGAAAGCAATGGGGCTGCACGGCGGGGAGTGGGGAATCAGAACTCACAGCTGAGCCAGGAGCCCTCCATAAGGAAACAGATGGATTTTTGGTGCATACCGGATGCACGGAGCTCTCGGACGAGCCGTGTGGCTCTCAAACAACAAGCAGCCGGGCTGAGAGGGGTGCCAGAAAGCCTACGTTACCCTGCAGGACCACAGGATCGGATTCAGAAATGAAGGTGATGTCAAGGATTTTCCCTCGCTGTGATTTATGCCGTCATTCTGGTGCTCAGACTCCTGGAAACTTGCACCTCCTGCAGATGTGCCGGCTGATTAGAATGACGCAACGCAGTCGCTCGCTGGGTGATGTGATTGAAATTAAAAGCCCACATTCCCACCAAAAATGTGCTGTGGCTGCTGGCAGCTTCTCACTGCCACGTCCCACCTGTGCAGGCAGCAGGTGTGGGGCTGCGGGGAGCCGGCCTGGATCTTCGTGTGCTCCCAGGTCCTGCAGCTGTGGGAAAAGGCAATCCTCACCCGCTGGGCTCTGCGGGGCTGCGGGCATCGGGCTGCTGGGACAAGGAGCAAGCATGGAAATCAGCAGCACAGAATGGTTGGGTTCCAGAAGGTGCGTTTTATGGGGCTGGGATATCTGCTGCATCACGGCCCAGGGAAGGAAGTATTAACATCCTTAACCAGGTTTGAGAGATGTGATAATTAAGGTGTTGTAAGCTTCCATTGCCTGGAAAAAAAGGGAAAAAAAAGATAAAATA